ACCAACAGTCTGGGCCTGATATCGGATGGCTTCCACATGCTCTTCGACTGCTCCGCCCTGGTGCTGGGGCTGCTGGCTGCCCTAATGACCAGGTGGAAGGCAACACGCATCTACTCCTTTGGGTAGGTTAGCATGCAGATAGCTGGACCACTATCTCTGATTCACCCATTGTGAGATTGTGTGTGAAAATGCGTCCCTGTGACAGACTGGTATGACATCCGGAGTGACCCCTTCCTCATTCCCTGTGCATCCTGGGATAGTCTGCAGGTTCCCTGTAACCAGGATTTTGTTTCAACCAACCTGAAATGTCCGCGTCTGCCTGTAACCCTGTATTGGATGACTGATTGTTAATTTGGTGGCGTGCTGATAAATAAGATTTGGTAAATCTTCAGTCTTTACCCATCAAAGCTTGTTTTGAGTTTCCTGTTTCTCCTGTCATACTAATGGTTGGTTTTTCCCTGATAGGTACGGTCGGGTTGAAATCCTCTCCGGGTTCATCAACGGACTCTTCCTCATGGTCATAGCTTTCTTTGTCTTCATGGAATCCATTACAAGATTAATCAACCCTCCCAACATCAACACAGACATGTTAACTGTGAGTGTGACTGCTTAAGCTTGCGTATCATTCCGATTTTACCAAACCTGCTCGTTAAAGCTGCTGCTTCTTGATGTCTCCCATAAAACTACTTCTCCCTTTGCCCCCCGCAGCCCGTCTCAATTGGAGGCCTCATCGTGAACCTGGTGGGCATCTGTGCCTTCAGTCACGCACACTCGCACCACACCTCTAGAGGGGGCTGCTCAGCGCATGACCACGGTCACTCCCACCACGGACACGCCGAGCACGCCCATGGGGGGCATGGCCACGCCCATGGTGGACATGGCCACGCCCACACTCACAGCCACGGTCACGGCCACAGCCACGGTGCGGGAGGAGGCAGGATGAATGCCAATATGAGAGGTAGCGGGCGCCCTAAGCACTGCATTTCTAAAAAGCATAATCTCTTCTCTTAATGATGTTGCTTTTGAATGTCTTAAGACTTAATTGTGAATAACATTAATAATGACTAGGGCTGTCAAAATTAATGGGTTAACGCGGATTAATCCATCATCATGATTAATCTGATTAAAAATTTTTATGCAATTAACCCATCTGCAGTGCAGAATGACTCAAAATCCCTGAAATGAAAATTGGTGGAATAGCGAAAGTTACTGAACTGGATGGGTTGGTGACATTTATGAACGCGAAATATGTGTTGCATACACCGATTCCTAATAAAAGTACACTATTATAGAACTACAAAGATGCAATTCCATGCTGTAAATTGCCTCCGGAGCTACCCGCCATGTTGCGATGTTCTGAAGCATCATGGAGTGGGCGTGCTCAGATGGTTAAAGGCGTGTTCACTCCAAATTCCAGCTGACCAATAGACGTGCAAGTTGCTAAGGCCCGCCCACCCGTTAAAACAGTACCAAATGTCAGAAGCAAAAAAGCATTCCAAAAGCAAAAAAAAATTCCAGAAGCAAAAAAAAAAATTCAAAAGCATAGAAAAACATTCCAGAAGCAAAACAAATTAGAGAAGAAGGAAAAAAATTATTTTATTCGACTCTTTTGATATTTGGAAAACATATTTTCATTCTGATACTTAATGATTTGCTTGCGGTTTTCAAAATTTTGATTAATACTTTTGGCACAAAATGAACTACATAGAGGTACTTTAAATACTACAAGTTGTCCGGCTAAGCAAAAAAATCTTGCTTTTTGATATGGATCCATAGTATTGCCCTTCTGTGGCAGATGGAATGCATCCGACTCGTGTTCAAGATGTTCAATAAACATGTTCAGTGCATATATATTCCCTTTTTTCTTGAGTCTGTTTGCTCATGCAAAATTAAATGCATTTAATATAGATTAAAAATGAATGACATTTAATCCTGATTAATCGAAATTATTCCACAGCAACCCTGTGATCAATCTGATTAAAAATTTTAATCATTTGACAGCACTAATAATGACACTATTGATCCCTCGTGGGGAAATTTTCTTTATGCCTTCTCCATCTTGCATGATACACACACATATAGGTGAAAGCAAACTTAACAGTGAAGGCCATATGCTGCACAGTAAATGGGCAATAAATGAAATATTTAAGCTGACAAATTTCCATTAAATTTGAGAGAATTTTTGCCCAGTTAAACATCTTGAATATTTTTATAGGGTTGAATATCGGCTATAACAGTACTGCTGTTAACCTGCATGTGCTATACAGAGTGTGTGTAAATGGAGGACAATCTGAGGCTAATGGTAGACTTTCCGCCGTGATGCATCCTCTCTCAGGGGTCTTCCTGCACATTTTGGCTGACACTCTCGGCAGCGTTGGGGTGATCATCTCTACCATCCTCATCCGGCAGTTTGGGTGGCTGATTGCGGACCCAATTTGCTCGCTCTTCATCGCCGTGCTCATCTTCCTCAGCGTTGTGCCTCTGCTGAAAGATGCATGTGAGGTTCTCCTCCTCAGGATCCCTCCCGAACATGAGAAGGACCTTAATCACGCACTTGAGAAGGTCAGTCGCCTGCCGCATGTTCACAGGGACTCACTGACCTGAGACGGCACAGATGCCCATAACCAACCAATCTACTATTCTGCCCTGGGCTGGTTTTCAGATCCAGAAAATCGAGGGCGTCCTGTCCTACCGCGACCCCCATTTCTGGAGACATTCAGCAGGGGTTGTAGCTGGAACCATCCACTTACAGCTCATGTCAGATATTGTAGAGCAGAGAATCATCCAGCAGGTTTGTGTTGTTCTTTTTTCCTCAAAACACAATAACTATAGATTGGTCCTTGACAATGATGTGGCCTGGATAAGAATTACATTTTTGTGCAGAACTTTGAATGTCATTTTTCACGCATGTTGTTTTTTTTTTTTTTTTGGTTACCAGGTGACAGCTGTGCTCAAAGATGCAGGGGTGAACAACCTCTCCATCCAGGTGGAGAAGGAGGCCTATTTCCAGCACATGTCTGGCCTAAGCACAGGCTTCCATGAGGTCCTCGCCATGACGCAGCAAATGGAGGCCATGAACCGCCTTAAAGATGGCACCTGCATTATGTGAAGATGTCACTGTGGCAACCAATAAACCATGATACTTACCAAATTAGGAAACTGTAATGTGGATTTTTTTCTTTTATTCTTCTTGGTATTTTGCACATGTCTCTGTACAATTTCTGTGTATTATGGACTTTCCATTTTGTGTTACTTGTTTTGCATTAAACCGTAATAGAAATCCACTGTGATGGGTTTTAATCTGAAATGTCATTTGGCCTTCAATTCAACATGCGTTAAATATATTTGTTTAAAAACTGTTGTGTTAAGTCCAGTTCTGACCTACACCTTTATATGAATCCCTGTCACTCTTTCTGCTTCTTTATATAGTCAAATGAGAGCAAAATGTGAACAGCATTAAAAACACTAAAGACCTTGAGAATGCTTAGCAGACCATACAGACACTGTGGACCCTGTGCTGAAGCAAGCTTAGCTCTTAAAATCCGAAAAATCTCTATTGGCCAGGAATTTATCCTGGTGGGTGTGCCCCACTATAATATATAGTATGGAAGACAATTTCAACATGTGAAATTGTACAAATACTATTAGCACTAGGCTTTCTACAGCCAAGCATCATAACGTGAAATAAAGTGTGAAGTTAGTGAATGTTATGAACAGGGTGATGCTGGGATGAGTTACAGGATCCCAGCTGATTTAAAACTTCAACATGCCTATTGTTAGCAAACCAGTTACTGTTGGTTAGGGATACTGGTGTGGGATAGAAACTGTCCCTGGGTCTGCTGGTTTACCTTTGAGTCTATTAGAGGCAACTCAATAGGACACCAAGTCTTTCCACCACCATCAGCAAAACCAAAACGTCTATCCATCCATTTTCCAAACCAGTGGTGGGATTTTTCAGTGAACATTGATGACGAATCTGTCATACAAAACTCCAGACACTCTGCCAAAGCCCAAATAAGCTGTTGTGGTTTCTGGCCCAGTCCCCTAGTAAGACACATCATGCTGCTGGTTTTTTTATTTTTCATAGACACCTTTATATCTCAATTCAAGAATGCTAACTGTGATTGAATGTAATTATTTACTGAGGAATTTAGGAAAATTATTTTACTGAAATGACACAGTCTGGTGCTGGGAACATTTAGGTAGGGTGACCAGATAATCCATGTCAGGGAGGACACTTTGAGCTACTTCAGGTTTTACAAACTAATTTCAAACTGAAAGGCTTGTGTGCTCGGCTAATTAGTTCAGTTCTTCTTGTGCTTTGACTGGTTTGTTTCCTTGACTGAAAGACTCATCCAGCAGTTTCACATTAGCATTAGTGACACATGCATGATTATAGAAGACTGACCAATCAGCACACAGCGAGAACTCAGTGCTAAAGTGAAATCCAGGTCCTTTTAATTTAAATGGTAATTTACAATTCCTGTCCAGTGTCCTAGCTCAGAGTGTCCTCCCTGACATGGATTATCTGGTCACCCTACATTTAGGTCACAGGTCCTCAAATAACATGTTCCATTTAAGACCCAGAGTTCCAGTTATAGACTCCTTAAGCACAAAATAATATTTTTTCTACCATTATGCAGCTTAAGTAACTGATGTGGCCACAGCTGACAATACCGGACAAGCAAGCTATTTTTTAATTCACACAAAAAAACGATGTCCATTGCTCTACAGTACTAATGCAGCTGGGAAGCTTGTGATAAGTGTAAAAACAGCAAATTATATTTATGAATATTATATAAATAATACACATTGTTGTCATTATTACAGTTAACCTAACTAAAAAGAAAGGTACTTTACTGAACGTTATTTAGTAGCGAATCAGCGAATATTTTACCAACAGTTAATTTTACAAACTATCGGTCACATGACAGCCGTTGTCTTAGAAACGCATTCTAAGAGGGTGGGTTTCGCCCAATAGTATCACTGTGGACGCTCAAAGCAGCCAATCAGATTCAACCGAGCGACGATTTAAACCAAAAATGTGTTCCCTTGTGTTATATGCTGTGGAAGAAACGCATTCATTGAGACTTGTTTTGCAGTTGTGCTAGTTTGACATGGCTCTTCGTGTAACTCGGGTGAGTGGGTTTCCAACTTTGTAGTTTGTGCTTTTTGGCGTTACTAATAGTTTTCTGCTGTTCGAATTTCTGCTTCACCTTACTTTGAAGTCTTTTGCGGAAACTAAGATTTGTGTCTTTTTATTTTCTTTCCCTGCTGTCCTCCCTCTTATGCTTCTTCGTTTTACGACTTGCTTTAATGCATGGCTACCTCAGATATCTACTTCTCTTCCCTCTTTTTTTTTTTTTATTTTTGTAAAGCTTTTGTGAAGGAAGTGGTTTATATGCTTGTGATCTACAGAGTTCTCAGCTGGCTGTGAACAGAGATGCTGCTTCTGGAAAACCAGGATTGACTGGGAAACAGACCGTGAGGCCTAGGGCAGCGCTCGGGGACATCGGAAACAAGACGGTTGCGACCCGGCAGCCTCTGAAGAAGGTAAGGTTGTGTGTGTGTGTGTGGGGTGTGTTTTTTTTTTTTTTTTTTTAATATCCCCCTCAAACTTTAAAGAGAGCGTCTATTTAAAACACGGATTTATTTGGCGTACTTTTCTGTATAGGACGCTAAGCCCGAGGGCAAGGTAGCTCTGAGGAAGCCGAGCAAGTCCGAGAAGCTGCCCGATGAGCAACTCCTCAAAAAGGATGTGGTCCTCATGGCGAAGCCTGTGGAGGTGAGCTCTCCTGGTAGCCCTGAAGCATTGCTTGCTTTGTTTCTGTAGTTCTGCCTCGGCCCACATTGTCTCCTAGAAGGTGTTGCATAATCACGTGTTTTGCTTTTAAAATCCTAAAAGTCATGTTCAGTGACTGACCGTCTGGTGTGGTCTGCTAGCTTGCTAATGGTTACATGTTCCTGCCAGACTGTTCCTGAGCCCCAGTCACCCACACCCATGGAGACTTCTGGCTGTGCTCCAGATGACCTGTGCCAAGCCTTCTCTGATGTCTTGCTGAACATTAAGGATGTTGATGCAGATGATTATGACAATCCCATGCTCTGTAGTGAATATGTGAAGGACATCTACAGCTATCTTTGTGAACTTGAGGTTGGTGTACTTCATGAAGGGATGGCTGCTGATCTTGCTCTTCCAGCTCATTAAATATGGCCACTGTCTCCTTCCAAGGTTGACCAAGGCGTCAGACCAAAATATCTGGAGGGCCAGGAGGTTACTGGGAACATGCGTGCTATCCTCATTGACTGGCTGGTTCAGGTTCAGATTAAGTTCAGGCTTCTCCAGGAGACCATGTACTTGACGGTAGCAATCATTGACCGCTTCCTCCAGGTAAGCAGTATTCTGAATAGGAATGGATCCTTTGAGTACTTGGAAAGTGCTCCACAGTGAAAGTTGAGCTGTATTAGAATTGAATGTCTTCAAATTGCTTGACGCATACGAGGTTCAAGATTCATTTCACTTGCATAGTTATACATGTACTGAATGACCCTTGGTCTGTGCAAATCAAAAATAGAATAAAGAATGAGCCTAGAACTGCCACTTCAATGGGCTAATAATGGTTAAATAGGTACATGCAACCCTGTGCAGTGCCTGATTTTTAAGATTCAGGGGCTGGCTGTACACTTCCAGGCTGGCTGTGCCACAGAACCATGTTATCTGACCCCATCTGTGTTTCCACCCACCCTGAGTATTCAAGTACTTTTTTGCCCTGTTGTACTTGAGAAACTCATCTCTAATCATACCATCTGCTTAAGTCATGTGACAGACTACTCCTTTCTCCAGGACCATCCTGTGCCAAAGAAACAGCTGCAGCTTGTCGGTGTGACCGCAATGTTCATTGCCTCAAAGTACGAGGAGATGTATCCTCCTGAGATCGCAGACTTCGCCTTTGTCACTGATCGTGCATACACCACTGCTCAGATCAGAGACATGGAGATGAAGATCCTCAGGGTGCTCAAGTTCAGCTTCGGCAGACCTCTGCCTCTCCAGTTCCTGCGACGGGCCTCCAAGATTGGGGAGGTAATGTGCTACTATTAGGGATGTTCTAATCCACTTTTGGTACCTGGATTTATTTGCTGATTTCCAGGTTCCAGTACACTTGTGTACAGTAGGTGACGGCACTCATCTGTAAGTCCCCTTTCAGTTTCTACAAGTGCCTAATTGGATTTTGTACACCTCTGCCACCTTCTGGAAAAGGTGGCATTGCAGGGAACTCCTGGGGCTACTTTAAATCAATGTCAACGCTGACCTAGGGGGTGGAGGAATGGGGAAAGCTGCTGCAAAATTTACTCTTGTTATCAAAAGTGGAACTTTATGAAACTTGACTGCACTAGCTTTGTGCTGCTATGGACACTTGCCTGTTTAGTAAGCAGTTCAGTATACATAATGTTTAGGAAGTGTATTGCAACACCCAAACATTAATTGGTATGATTATATTGTATCCTTAAGTCTGTTTTTAAATTGTAAAAGGTCCTGCCACACCATCTTGGCCTTCAAAAGAGATGGCTGAGCTGTCTGTCCACTGCAGTTCTTATTGCTTCTATGAAAGACAAATGTGCTCTGGTGACTGAATTTTACTCAATGTAAGGATTATCTAAGTTCAGTAACTTGGCATCTCATACATGCATTAATCTGCTTACCATATTGTGGGCACAAGTGAATCTAGTACTGAAAAGCTCTTGATAGCATTTACATCAAGCCCCAGTTATTGCACATGTGCCATTATGATCTGTGCAACCCTACTGCAATGTATTTTGGGATACTAGTCTGACATGGGGAAACTCTACATGGATCTGGCTATAGTAGCTGACCCTGATCAATCAATGCCTGATTTTTGGCCTTCAGTCTGTCAGCTTGTCACTGCTATGGTCCCTCTGGTTTGGCACTAGACCAGGGGTGGGCAATCTTATCTGCAAAGGGCTGGTGTACATGGATTTTCACTGCTGCTCCTCAACTAGAGGACTGATTAGCTGAAGAGTCCTTACACCTTGGTTTGAACAACTGGCCTACAGGTTACCCCAAAATCCTGCATGCACACCAGCCCTTTGTGGATAAGATTGCCCACCCCTGCACTAGACTGACTTGGGTGTTAAACTAAAGCTAATCTCCCCCTGCAGGTGACAGCTGAGCATCATACCTTGGCAAAGTACTTTGTGGAGCTCACAATGGTTGACTACGACATGGTTCACTTTGCACCCTCCCTGATCGCTTCTGCTGCTTTTGCTCTGATGCTAAAGGTTTTCAGCTGTGGCGAATGGGTAAGTTTTGGCTCCTGACCCAGTAGTGTGGGGTTCCCCCAGAAAACCAGGGCTACATCTCTTTTCTCTGCTGCAGACGCCCACCCTGCAACACTACATGGGTTACTCAGAGGACTGCCTGGTGCCTGTGATGCAGCATATTGCTAAGAATGTGGTGAAGGTGAATGAGGGACAGACAAAGCACATGGTGAGTGGGAGGCTTGTAATGCAGTAATAGTGTCTGACAGTAGCAAGATCTAGCTGACCTGCTCATTGTTTCACAGGCAATAAAAAATAAGTATGCCAGTCAGAAGCAGATGAAGATCAGTTTGATTCCCCAGCTGAAGTCTTCAGTCATCAAGGATTTGGCCAAACTGTCATAATGGTTTATTGAGCACAATGTGCTTTCTTGTGTATAAGTGTTTATTTTAATGGCTTTATAATTGTTAGTACTTTATCTACTCTACTGTGACTTGTACAAGAGCTGAGTTTCAAGGATGAGGTTTCAAACAGCATCTGCTGCTTCTGTCTTCAGTGATTTATACTGTTGGCTGATCTGCTCGGAGCAGCCTTCGGTCTACATGATGGACAGTTGTGGGAACTTGGTGATTTGAAATGGCTGGTTATAGGTCATTCTTACCTACGCCTTCCATTTTTGGAAGGTGCAAGATTTGATTTGCCGGTCTTCCACCTCTGGGGGGGAGGGGGGGGGGTCACCTTTCTCCATTTAAATGACTCAATGATGACTGTCAAATTCATTTTTTTGCATCTGTCCTGTAGGCATGTACTTGTTTTGCTAGCAGTGTTGCTGTGGATAAGTCAGTTAAGCTGCCTGTGTTTTATTTGACTTTTTTTTTTAAACCCCAGTTTTATGTGCTTGGTTTTTATGCCTTTATTGTCCTATTACTTGTGCTATGCAATAAATTGGAAGGTTCCAGGTGTACATACTCAATGTTCAGCTTGTGACTTTTTTTTTTTTTTTGAGGTAGGAACAAGCTACTTTGATCCCACACATGCATGCAAATCCTTTGACCACCCATAGTGCTGCTTTTGTTTTGAGCAGCCCAGCTGTCCACTTTGAAAGTGGTCAGCTTTCGCTACAAAGGACTATTGGCTGACTGTAAACACGAGTCACACCCAGAAAAGTCTCTATACTTCACATTCCAAATTTTCAAAATTAGAAATTTAGCCAAATGTAGAAAGCATGCAAATAAAGGCCAATTTAGTCCACATTTCATTATGAGTTTGCCCTGGCAAAACTTGACAATTTTCAATTTCCTTGGAAAACAATTTTTGATATTTGACTGAGCCAAGCTTGGGGAAACAAGCATAAGCAGCTTGTCCAGTTTTGTCCCCTCTGTGGGAACATTACAACTGACTGTTCTGCTTCGTGCAAATTTTTTCTGGAAACCACTATTTCCCACTTTAAATGACAACCATTTCACTTGTTTAAATGGCAATTTAAATTCTGCTAGTGACCATTAAAATTGTCAATCTACCCATCAAACTCCATGGGAGGGCTCTAAACAACTTATTTTAAGTTTCCAGCAGAGTTTACAGTACACAGCTGTGTACTGTGGGATCAGACTGGATGGGCTGCTGTTTGCTCCCTAATGAGTTCTGGGCATCTATGACCTCATTGTTGGTTCAGCAGTTGGCCTTCCTTGGACCAATTTTGGTAGGTACTGACCACTGCATACCAGGTCATCTGACCCAGTCATCTAGCCGTCATAATTTGGTCCTTGTCAATGGTGCTCAGATCTTGTCCATATTTCCAGCTTCCAACATACCTTCAACTGTTCACTTGCCTAATATGCAACTGGAAAAAAATGACTGTTCCATATGTGTACATTATTTTAGTCTGCATTTTAACATTCTGATTTGATCCTGGTTCTGCTGCCAGAAAACAGCAGGTCACTTCCAGGCTCAAAATGTTTAAGACTACAGTATACAAGAACAAGACATTTGGTACGACCAAAAATCAGGAAGGTAGAGGGCGGAAGTGACTTTAATGGCAGAGATGGCTTATCCAACAGTTTCTCATTAATTGGAGGATGACATCATTTACAGTTGGGGGCTGTCAGCTTGAGCCTGAGCTATAGTAACTTAATGGATGAACAATCTATAGGAAGATCAATCTTGTGCAAGTTGACTGAGCCCAACCAGTGTCCTCATAGTTGCTGTTCTGATTGTGTTGAGCTACTGCATTGCTGTCTTGTTCCATCAATCCATCCAGTCATGATGTCCTCCAGTGTTCATTCCCTCCTAATTGTGTCCAAAGTAAGCAAGGCTTCAAGTGACATTGTCGCCTTGATCTGTTCCAATATCTATTTGTTTATCCTTCTAGCTGTCCATGATATTGACAGAATTTGTCTCCAGCACCGCATTTCACATTGTTACGATCCCCAGTCTAGGGTTGGGGATCACCAGAAAGGTAAGGGAAAGGGAGAGGGGAAGACGAGACAAGCGGGGAATAAGGGAAAGGGAACATGGGAAATGAGGGATCTTTGTTTTTTTTATTTTTCACAAACACCAGATGTAACAGACTAAGGCAGTGACCCAGGCCAAAACAGCTAACGAACCCGTCCCGAAACTAATCTACCCCTAAGCGTAACAAAAGGAAACAAAATAACACTAAATTCTGACTCCCTACCCAAACATACAGTAAACCACGTCACGCAAGAATCAAAAAGGCAGTCACTCCTTACACACACCTGGTACAAACACACACACAGCAAACACACACAACACAAGCAACGGTATCGAAGGGAGAAGGCAAAGAGAAGAATCAAAAAGGCAGTCACTCCTTACACACACTTGGTACAAACATACACATACAGCAAACACACAGAACACAAGCAACGGTATCGAAGGGAGAAGGCAAAGAGAAGTCGAAAACAAGCGGGAGATCAAAGGCGAGAAATCAAAATCCGAAAACCAAAACCGTCATACACTAATAATCAAAAACCAATAAGCAAACCAAATACAATCCAAATAATGAGCAGAGCTCCTTAGCTATGCAAGCTGCCGCCTTTTCTTCGAAGGACCCGGAAATCACAAGCGGCGCATCGGAGGAGCCATGGGCGGGGTCTGGTCAGGGAGGCGGAGCCAAGATGCAGCCAGCGAATGACGACAAGGAAGGGAGGTCTGGAGAACCTATAGGCTGCCCCTAGAACTTACGGCATGTAACACACATCAATCCATCGCCTGTCCTATCTCTTCATTGTCCAGCTCTCGCATCCATATGTGACCACAAGATAGATCAAACTATTTGTGAGTCGTATTTTTGTCAAATGTCCTTTAATTTGAAGACCTTATTCAGTGACTTCATTGTTGAGTTTCCCATGGCGATTCTTTTGATCTTTTGAATTGATGTCATGTCTGTGTTTACCACTGATCTGAGTAGGTTAAAATCCTTGACCACTTTTATTTTGTCATCATCCAGTTCAAACGTATCTTGGTCATATTTGCCAGTTGTCACTATAAACCGACGGGTATCGCCATACTCTGTCCAAAATGTAGTTTCTTGGTCAACATAAAGGTTTCTCATGAGGTACATCCATATTCCTTTATGTTGCCCAAAGTTTCTGATTATTCACGCAGTCAATGACCTGACTGTAGTCAATTAAACATAGGTATAGGCTTTTTTGGCATTCCTTAGTCTTTTCCATGATCCATCTAATATCAGCTCTGATATATCTAGTTCTTCTGCCCATTCTGAAGCCTGCATGTTCTTCCAGTAGTTCCCTTACATTTCAAAAGTTGTAATCCTCTTTGTATGATCTTCAGTACAATCTTGCTGGTATGAGTGTAATAGTTCAATAGTTACTGCAGTCAGTGATGTCTCCTTTCTTAAGAAAAGGAATAAATTCTGATTTTGTCCAGTCCTTTGGCCACTTCCCAGTTTTCCATATCTGCTGGCATAACCTGATTGCTTCTACAGCTGTTTCTGAAGACTTTATGAGCTCTATTTGAATGTTGTCACATCCAGGTGCCTTGTCATTTGATAAAAGCTTGATTGCAGCAATGACTTAAGAACATAAGAAATTTTCAAACGAGAGAAGGCCATTCAGCCCATCAAGCTCACTTGGGGAGAACTTAACTAATAGCTCAGAGTTGTTAAAATCTTATCTAGCTCTGATTTAAAGGAACCCAGGGTTTTAGCTTGTGCTACACTAGTAGGAAGACTATTCCATACTCTAACTCAGGGGTCACCAACTCCGGTCCTGGACTGCTACTATCCAGTAAGTTTTCTATCCTACCTGGCTTCTGATGAGCCACACCTGCTCCTGGTATTTACCTGAGAACTAGTGTGGCTCATCAGAAGCCAGGTAGGATAGAAAACTTACTGGATAGTAGCTCTCCAGGACCGGAGTTGGAGACCCCTGCTCTAACCACACGCTATGTAAAGAAGTGCTTCCTCAAATTTGTTTTAAAATGTTCTCCTACTAATTTCCACTTATGGCCACGAGTTCTAGTATTTAAACTAATATTGAAATAGCCATTTGGCTGAACAGCATTCAGACCCGTTAGAATCTTATATACCTGGATCATGTCCCCCCTTAGTCTTAAGGCTAAACAGATTCAGCTCAGCTAACCTCTCATCATAAGACATTCCTCTAAGACCAGGAATCATTCTCATAGCCCTACGCTGCACCTTTTCCAAGGCAGCAATGTCCTTCTTAAGGTATGGTGACCAAACCTGCACACAATATTCAAGGTTGGGTCTTACCAAGGAATTATATAATCGTAGCATAACTTCCCTTGACTTAAGCTCCACACACCTAGAGTTGTAACCCAACATTCTATTGGCCTTTTTTATTGCTTCCCCACACTGGCGAGAGTGGGACATGGAAGCATCAACATACACATCGAGATCTTTCTTGTAATCAGCTACCTTTATTTCAGTGGAACCCATAAAATATCTGTACTTTATATTTCTGCTCCCTGCATGGATTACCTTACATTTATCTATGTTAAATTTCATCTGCCAGGTATCAGCCCAGTCGCTAATTAAATCCAGATCCCGCTGTAGCCTCTCCGCTGCTAGATCAGTATCTGCTACCCCATCCACCTTCGTGTCGTCTGCAAATTTAACCAGTTTACTGTATGTATTGGTGTCAATATCATTAATATCAATATATTAGGAACAATGGTGGTCCTAAAATTTAACCTTGCGGTACCCCACTATGAACGCAGGCCCACTGTGACATTGTGTTTCTAATAACTACTCGCTGCTTCCTGTCAGTTAACCAGTTTTCAATCCAAGCTGCTACAGTTCCTAAAATCCCTGCAGCTTTGAGCTATAGCAAGAACCGTTTGTGGGGGACAACATCAAAGGCCTTCTGGAAATCTAAGTAGATCACATTGTAGGCCTTTTTGTGATCAATTTCTCTTGTAGCTTCCTCAAAGAACTCAAGTAAATTCGTTAAATAGGATCTACCTCTCCTAAATCCATGTTGGCTATCCCTCAGAATGTTATTTGCATCCAGGTAATCTACNTAATGCTAGTTAAACTGATTGGCCTATAGTTTGCTGGATTACTTCTATCCCCTTTTTTGAATATGGGTGTTATATTAGCATGCTTCCAATCAGAAGGTACCACACCCGCAGATAACAATTTCTGGAATACTAAAGTTAAAGGTTGGCTAATAATATCCCTCATCTCTTCTAAAACTATAGGTAAGATGCCATTAGAGCCCTGTGATTTATTTATTTTGAGCTTATCTAGGCTTAGTACCACATCAGCCTCAGTTATACATATATTGATCAAAGACAACGCTGTAGAGAGTCTAATGTTCTTTAACTCAACCTGTAGACTTAGATACTCCTGCTTAGTTTTGAAATCAGTTAATTTCCATTTGTGGAAGAGAGCCCTTTTACTCCTGACTTTATTCTTGATTTCCTTAGTAAACCACCTTGGTTGTAGTTTCCTAGATTTAGTTTTGCTGG